TTCTACGCACACTCTTCTTTCACTGTGTCTTGACTGAAATTTTGCTATTAAAATAATGCTGAATAAACAATTAATAAAATGAAAAATATATCTATCGTGGTATTTTTTTTTTATATAAATTTGCTGTTAAGCAAAGTTATTTGTAGGCACGAAGAGACACAAAAAAGAGTTAAAGTAAAAGACCTATCCCACTTTCTTCTATTTCTTTATTAATTTCATTCTAGGCGCAATTCTCAATACTACAGCTCTTAAAGTTCTTTAAGGATGTATTTAATTACTATTATTTTTTTATAGAATGTTTTTACAATTCAGTTAAAACAATAAAAATTATTACTTGCAATTTTATTTTTATATTCATATTTGAATTATAGAAACATTTTTATCCTTTTTGCGCGCGCACGATTTTCTTTTTGATGACATCAAAAACTTAATATACGATTGATGTGTTGTTTTTTGTTTGTTTTTGTTTTTTTTTCCCTTCAAAAACTTAGCCCAACGAAACATTGACTTTTAATTATAGCTCTTTTAACCACCATAGCGGTTGTTTTGGGAGGTGGCGTAGGAGCACTTAACCCCTTTTGACCTACATTGTCAACACCTGTCATGCCCGATTAGCTAAAAAACAATCAAAATCAACACACGTGACCCAACCTTGCAGTTGTATTGATTACGAAACCATCATAATTGTTATAAAAAATATTCTTCATCGTTATTAAAAAAAAAAGCATTTTTTTTGGTGCAGCTCAGTTTATCAATTATGAAACTAAATATTTTCCAATCAAATCATAACTATCGTCGATAAAAGTAGTTTTAAACATTCACTTTAGTTTGAAAACAGTCAAATGAAATTCTACGTTAGAATCAATGAGCTTTTCATTTTTTAAAAACAAAAGATTTATTTAGGTAATTTTCTTTCTAGAAAAAAAGAAAACCCTAAGAACGAATTTAAAATTAATTTAATTACATTTTTTTAATAGGGTGCCGTCGCTATCATAGGTGATTTAAAAAAATTGCGTGTTTTTCCAGGGATGTTATTTACTGCCTACTGTAGCAGTGTAAAAGTTTATTTTTGATCTGAAACTTGTATCAGATAAACTGTGTGTGTATGTCTAGTTATTTTTTTTAAAGGTTGGTCACAAGAAAAAGTCAGTAATGGTTGGAATGTAGTTGTGTTGTTAGTTTCTAACGAGACAGATTGGTAATGGTAGCACAAGGACAACAGAAATAAAAATAAAAAAGTCAGTCGAACTAAAAACGACTAAAATAAGATTTGAATGAGGAAATTCAATAAATATGGCAAATTTTATTTATAGTTAAGGTGACATTAAAACCTGTTAACGGCATGAAACAAAAATAAAACTAAAAAATCCCATTGAAAAGTTACTATCTTTATCGCCAGTATGGTGTACTGTAGTTACTTAATAATGTTCATTTTAAAAAAGTCATTTCCTTTTTAACAAGTTTAATGCGGACATTAATCATCTACAGTCGACCATTTAAAATATTTTCCATATTTTCATTTTGTTTTATTCATATAATAATAATAAAAAAAAAGGTCAGCAAGTTTAAACACGCTAACATCGCCTTCTAAATGAACAAAAAAAAAAAAAAAAAAAAAAAAAGAAAAAAAAAAGCAGATCCATTCATAAATTCATTGTATACAGAGACAAAAAGACGATTATGCTATGGGAAAATTTTCACTGTTATAGTCGCTAATAAATTAGTTTTTAACGATTTAACAGAACAAGCGGTTTTTATTAATTAATAAAGAAAAAAAAAACAAGAAATTATAACCTAAAATATTTGAAAGTAGAGTCGTAAAAACTGAATCGTTACTAAATAAATGACGTTTATTGAACCTGATTAAAACTAGTTTAAGATTGGATCATATCAAAGTTTAAATAAAATCTCGATTAGTTAAAAAAGGAAAAAAAAGGCGAAAATATATATTTTTAACACAATTTGATGAAAAGATGAAGAATGGTGGTTGTAGCAGCATCACAAGTTACAAATTAGCGTTGGTTTTAAAAACAGCTGTTGCGTGTGTAAAATGACAATATCAGAACGATATATTTAAATAAAAATTTAAACAATCAATCACTTTACATTTATTTACAAATACTAGAAATTTTTAAACAAAAATAGTTGGCAAAAGATGAATCAATCATTTCATGCACCAATTTAAATGTTTTTTTATCGCTATATGTACAACAGCCTTAAGTCAAAATTCATTAAAAAGTAAATAAACTTAATTGGTCAAATTGATAAACTAATTTATTTACATTTTTTACAACAAAGTGTATTTCAGTTTTACAAAGTTTTTGCATTTAAAAGGTGTATGTTGATTTCTTTTAGGGAACAGTTTTTTTATTATTTGAATTGAATAAATGTTCGTAAAAATGCATATTTTTGTCTTATATGGAGAAAGTCCATTTCATAACAATGTAAAATGGGCATTAAATTTTTGTCTGAATTTCTGGAATGAGTTATCATTTGAACATTATTTACATTCGGACTAGTGTCCGAATTTAATTGAGAGACCAATCCCTGGGTCAGGTACTGTGTCTTGGATTCTGTGGAAACACGGAGAACAATAACTGAACAGTACTAAAAATATTAGACAAGATATCCCTAGACATGGGAAGTGAAACGAGAACAATCTACGCCCGTAAAAGGTTCAGTTCGAAATTCACTGTAGGTTACCCGGATCAACATACAACTCATGAAAGTCATAGGGCACAACGACCGAAACATTGTGAAGAACAAAGATGAGGACAATAGTCCAAATGTAAATAAGGACAATATGAAAGTTCATACATGGACATTTGTTTTAGGAAGTCCATACATATGTCATTCACAGTTTGTTTACAGAAGAAAGGAAAGTACAAAGATATATAGAGATTAATTGAAGTTGATACGTAATTTCGGTTGTTGTTGGCGAGTCTTTTGAGCTCTAGCCGCTTCACTTAGCTCTGAGTGAAAGGAGTTGATTGTGCAGACGAGCTGGTATTTTTTAGTTGACTGATTATGACTTGTTGCAAAGGCTTTGAATATAAAATCTAATGTTTTTGAATTTATTCAAACCAACAGCAATCAGCTGAAGAATTACTTTTTATACTTCATGATCTGCCTTCGGCCCCGCCCGACGTATTTTTTTAAAATTCATATTTTAGATTTTTGGCCATGGATACATGCAAATACGTATATAACAGACAATTAGTGGGTAACTGAATGACAAAAATGAAAAACTAAAACGTTTCGTCACTAGAGGAAATTCTTCAAACAATGTTTTTTTTTAATCAATGGATTCAATTTTAAGCAAGGAAAAGAAAAACAATGTCATGTGTTTTTAGTTTTTATGATCATTTCGTGTAGTTTTTTTTTTTACATCATCTCTCTGAAATCTTTACACGCTAACGAACCATTCTAAATTATTTGTATAACTTTTTCTTAAATGAACGTTAATGGAAGGAGGAATCTGATGATGAAACACCAACTACTATGGCTTAATTACTAACCTGGACCTAAATTAAACTTAAGGAAATATAACTATACGGTAATTTATTAAAACAAAAAGTTTGGAGAATTTGTTTAAATGATAAAGTGGAATCTTTTTCTCCTGAGACACTCACGAGTTGAATAAAAATAACAGCATTGTAAGCTCTAAATAAACAGTTGCAACAGCTGTTAAATAAACTTGCAATACCCTAAAAAATCTAAATATATCTTTTTTAATGCCAATCGTCATTGATGACTGAAACTGAAAACAAAAAGATTTGATTTAAATAATAAATCAAGGTGTACGATGTCCAACAAAGAAATTCTTTAAAGATTAGCTCGTTTAAGTGCTAAACGACTTTTTTTTTTTACCTATTTTCATATTGCAAATTCATTTTGGTTTTGTTTGACAGATTCCGAAATAAATAAACAAAACTCAAAAACAATATTCAACAGACAAAAGATCTAGAAAATCATAGCATCGGGTGTTATCGGGTGCAGTGTACAACTGCAGAAAAAAAAGACTGTATTGATTAGAAACAGGTGTGGTCAGTTCAAGTAGTCATCTTTTTTAAAAAGATACTGAAGAGCAAAAACAAGATACAAACAATTTTTGGTTCTTACGTCTTAAGTTTTAAAATAAGTCTTTTGTAGAATTTAGCTTAATGTAGCTTGATGCATCCCGAAATCACTGTGGCAGAATATTATTAGAAACCAAAAAAATATTTCGTCACAATTTGATTGCCTCAAGTAACGGTCCGCATCGACGGACATCACTTAAGTTAAGAAGATGCAAATTTTATATTTCGATCAAATCAAATACAGACGAAAATATGTAAAAACCTAGAGGCTACTGACAGATAATATAGTAGTTTAGTTTAGGCTTTCTATTTTTAATTAGCAGTTTTGTCATTACCGAAAAAAAAATGTCATTTTATTTTTTAGGATTTATTTTAAGATAGGAAATCAGATTAAAAAAAAAGCTTTTTATTTTATTTTTTTTTTTGTTAAATCACTTTTAAACATATAGACATAGCTTAAGATTTTCGTAATTTTGTGAAAAGACAAATTCTCTTCTGTTTTAACGGACAAACAGATTTTTACAGATTAGTGATTTAATAATAGTCATGCTGTCACCGTCATCAAAACAACATTTGATATAGACATCTCTGAACGACCTTCTACAATATAGATACATTTCATTGGTGATCATTCATTAACAATACTATTTGGAATAATTACAGAATGGAAGAAAAAGACGAGAAAGGATCACAAACAGTTGTTAATAAGCGATATAAAACGACAGTACTTTTTTTTTATAAAAAATTGAAAAGCCTACGAAATGGAAGATGGAGTTCGCAAAAGAGAAAAAAATGTGACGCGTGTATGATAAAAATACGAGAATTGTGAGGTGTGGCGTGCGATAAGGCAAGACAGGATGAGACGGTAGCAGAGAATAGGGACAAAAGTGGCAAGTTATTTATATGAATATGTTTTTTTACCATAGATTTTGTGACTCTCCGCCGTCCACACCGGCTAAAGGATCCGTCTCACCTCTTCGCTCACCGATAGGCGCCATCTTGACCTGCATAGTGCCCGGATGACGAGCGAATCGCGCGTGCGCAGAAAAACTGACGAGTAACAGGAACAGGAAGAGGAGCGGGGAGGGAAAGAGAAAGAGAAAAAGAAAGCTTAATTTATGTATAAGTGACTCATTGATTACGTCACACACACCCTCAACTACTCTTCGTCTTCCTTCGCCAGTCGACCGAATTAACCCGAAGCTTATGCTTATTCCGTAAAAGAAAGCACACACAAAAATAAATACAATAAATATCCAGACATTTTAAACAAAATAAAATGTAGTTTTTTTTTAGTATTCAAGTTTAGAAACTTGAATACTTATGAACTACTTTAATAAAAAACTGAAATTAAATTAATATAATTCAGTCTATACGAGCTAATCGCGTTTCCATTTAATCACGGAAATATCATATACAAAAAATTAACTTTATTTTTCTTATTAAAATACATAATTATCTTTTCTATAATAATTAAAATTAATTTTTGTTATTTATGTAGATAGTAAAGTAAATTAATAATTATATTTAAGTCGGTCAGCCTAAATCAATATTCCGGTATTTTCCGGAAAAGGAGGAAAACTTAAAACTAGGAAGAAAAAAAAAGGAACAGTTAAATAAATGAATTCAAAAATATCTATTTTGTTGGAAATATTTTATTGTTTTTGTAAAAATAAAAAAGAATTATTTACTTAATGTAATAAAAATGTATAGTTTAATGCAAATTTACCCATCTGATCGAATTGTCGGCTGTTCTCGTAGCAGCCGGCATGTCACTGGTCGGCACTTACATCTTTTTTTTCATTATTTTATTTTTTTAATATCTTCATTTGCATTATTTCCTTTTTTTGTGATATTTTCATTTGCCATAACCTCCGCATCCTGTATTTGACGGGCCGTCAATCGGTCATACTTCTTTAGAGGTAATGTCAGCTAATTTTAAAAATGATTGGCCTTTATTATTTTTTTTATCGTGCTGCATATTGCGAATGACTTATTTTCAATTTTTTCGATATTAAATGTTTTGGGGAAAATGTTGAAGTAAAAATAAAATAAATAAACATGCAGGCGTACACGACACCCATTTATTTAGAATAATTTTTGTTAAGTGAATATGGAAAATTAAAATATATCAGCGAACGACAACTGTTGAAGTTGCTACTTGCACTAATAAAAAAAAAACGGAAACAAAAATAACTTTTCTTAAGCTAAAAAAATAAATGCACACCGATTTTGATGAAAGTATAAAAATATATTAAAATAGTTGCACAAAATCACTGTCCATGCTTGTCAACAAAACAGTTTATGATAGTGACCATAACAACTTTCTCTGTTTTAAATGAAAAATGAAAGTGAAATTTACATATTTCTTTTACAATTTAGTTTCTTTCCACAAAAGGTTTTTTTTTTTTTTTTAATCCTTTTATTAAAAAATTAGGATGTTGTGTACTACTGTAGTCTCACTTTCAGTTTCAAAGTTATATTTTTAATTTAAATTTATTTAAAATAAAAAAAAATTCTATATCAATTATTTAAAGAATTGTAGTTCAAATTCAAGTTTAATTTTGCTTGTCTTCTGAAATAGTGTTACGAGAATTAAAATTTGAATTTAAATTTAGAATCAGATTGTCCACATCCGTTTTTAAGCGTACGGTAAACTAAAAAGTCCACCACGCCGCTTTTTTATGAATGGACTTCCTCGTAAAAAGACTAAAAGTGTCACTGCACAAAACAATCTTTTCTTTTTTATTTTTTTAGTCTTTTTGGATGTCACAGTCTTGCATTTTACTAGCGATATTATAAACATTTTCAGATTCAAGAGAGAGAAAAAAAAGAAACTAGAACAGTAAAATAATTAAGTTACTTAATTATTTTTTTTTTACTTTTCTAATTTATTATTTTTTTAAAATGCTTTTGCATTTAAAGTTGAAATTATTTATTTTTCCACCTACTTTCTTTTTGTGTCAAATGAATGGATCATTTTTTAGAATAAAAAATGATACATTCATTCATTTTTGTTTTGACGCAAAAAGAAAGTAAGTAGAAAAATAAATAATTAAAATTCCAACTTTTTTAATAATGTTAAAAAACATTAAATTGCATTCAATCACTTTTTCGAGGGGGAGAAATTTTAAAATACAAACACGTGGCTTGAATAATAAAAAATCTAAATGTTTTGTAAACATGCTGAAAAATAACGGGTTTTTTTTACAATCAACTGTCTCTCACACACGCACTGGTTCCGCACACGCGTGTGTGTGTGTATGTACGTGTGTATGTGTGTGTTGTTACATTGTATAAACACTTAAAGTGTTTACAGTTTTTTCTGAGAGGCGTGCCAGTGAATACGATTATTTTTATTTATTTATTTTTTTTTTTTAATACGTTGGAACTTTTGCTTCCACTCCAATCCCAGTTTGTTCAACAAATTAAATATTATTCTGGAAGTAGAACTACCTGTTTTAAACAAGAGTCCTTCCCTCTGTAGTACTTTGCTTTTGTTTGTTTAAAAAAAAATGTCATGTCCCTTCAGGATGTAGACGATCATGAGAGAGCCCTAATCGCCTACGCCCTGAAGGGACATGACTCGACTACACCCTATACAGCGTGAATTACTAAGAACTTTTGAGATTGCGTGTGGAGTGCTTTCCCGTTGCCTTGTCCACGGTTTTTAATTCTGAATTGTCTTCTTTTTTCTCGAATGACAATCATTTGACTCTAATTTAAACGGGACCCATATAGATGGATTCATTCATACCTTTCCCAAGTGCATTACTGCGAATGTGACCGACCGTAACAAACGAGACTTGATTTCACTTTCTGCGCTGATAATCGTTACACAAAAAACCGCACGATCTATATATGATTTCATTTTTATTTTATCATTTTTATTTTATTTATCTACTTAAAAAATATACCGCTTTTATTTTCTCTTTTGACCTTAACTCGAAATAAATGATAATTTCAGGAGTTTAAACAAATATGTGAATTGTAACACACACGTTGACACCTTTTTTTTTTCTTTTTTTTTTTTTTAATTAAATATAAATGAAATTGTAAATTTTCCATACTTGGTATTTTTTCTATTTTGCTAGAAAGAAAATAAATCGAAATGTATGTCTAAAATTATTAACATGGAATTAGAATATCTTCTTTACTTTTTTTTACAAAGTTTGAAGTCTGTAAATTTGTAAAAATAAAAAAAAACAAACTCTACTAAAAAAACAATTTTTTTAGTTGTTAGACTAAAAACCAACTGTATGCACAAAAAGGCTCCTTTTGGCTAAAAAAAAACAATGAAAAAAACTTTTTTGAAGGACTTTATATTTTGTCAGTTTTAATAACAGTTCAAAGGTCGCAGCGCACGTGTTGATTTCTCTTATTGTTTTAAAAATCATCGCACTTGACTAGTAAAGTGGTTTTGTCGACTATGGTTGTTAAAAATGCCATAATTTTCAAAAACAACTCATTCTTATTCTTATTTTTACTTTAGTGTAATGTGCCGAAACAAATACAGCTTTATTTTTATTTAATAAAACTAAAAAATTGTCATATGTACAATTGCAGTATTTTACTTACTTGTCTTTAAATCCTAGGCTAAAGGTATTATTCCTTTTACAAATTATCAGGTAATTTATTCGTAACGTGGTAAAAATAAGCAGGTGGATGGTAACAATGGAAACAACGCAAAATTTGGCATTGTGCCTGCAAAAAAAAACAAAAACAAAAAAAAAACGGTGTGTCTAATCAAAACTTTTTTGATACAATATTTTTTTACTCAAAGGATGGTTATTCCCTTGACATGCATGCTGTTTGAGTTTCAACTATTAATGTAGGTACCCGATATCTAAGATTTAAAATGAATATTTAAAAATGAAAAAAAGTTCTTGTAAACATTCATTATTCATCGAAATTTTTTTTTCTTAAGACAATAGTGTCCTTTTTAACATATTTACAAAAGCAATTAAAAGCTTTTCTAATTAAATGTTATAGTTTGGAAAGTTTGATTACATTTTTTTTTAGTTTACCATTCGGAACAGATTTTCAGTACAAATAGTAAAAGTTTGAAAAAGAAAATCGGATGATTTCCTTTCTCCAAGGAGACCTACTTTTATTTTTTTTAACTTATAAAAAAATTCTGGAAAGAAAAATTAATTTCGCGAAATTTCATGAAATTAATTTATTAATTAATTAAGTGTGTGTGTGTGTGGGGGGGGTAACATATGTAAAAAGAATATTTTTTACCAAGATTTTCTAAAACAAAAATTTCAAAAATAATTTCATTCATTTGTGAATAAGCCCTGAAAGTTTCATTAAAATCTACCAATTATTCGATTTTTATATGAATTTCCAAATTAATGTGTTTTTCATCAGGAAAAGCGCAATAAACACGCACTGTAAAAATTAGTCTGGCCCTGAAGTAAAAAAAGAAAAAAACAAGATTTTTAACCAAAATTTCAAATGTGTTAGAAAGGTTTAAATTTTTTTTAAGAATAATTAAAAAAATACTTTGGTCTTTCCTCTTAATAATAAGATAAACATTTTGACGATTAAATTTTGTTTTTATTAAGTTTTTTTTTCATCATGCTATGCTGTTTTTCAGCGAGCAAGAGGCGTTAATAGCAATAGGAAAACAAAAAAATATTAAATTTCGTCTTTCATTTGGAGCATAACACATTAAAAGCCACTCGGAGTGTACCCACACAAAATGTATACATTTTTGAATCTCTTGGCAATGTCTACATACAAGGTTATAAAAATATGTGAACCATGTACAATGTGATATTTATTAACCATTTTATAAAGAAACAAATTTGAAAAGAAATATTTTTATTCAAAAATTTATACAAAATTATCAAAGGCTAAACCAACTACAATGCAAAATTTATTATTTACCCTTCTGTAAATAAATATGAAAACACGTTTTTTATTCAATCTCGTTCTTAAATATCTTTGTTGTCAATTCTCAAGAATAAAGAAATTAATTTAGGTTTTATCA